AGTACCCTGGTGAGGTCTACTTCGCCAGTTTTCAAGCATAGCCGAAGTAGCCTCCAAAAGTGAATACTTGTGTGAATAAGAGGGTGCTCGAAAAGTATCGTAATGCCACATGATTGCCTTGATGTGTTGGGACTGTAAGAGGGTTTCTTCACACGCAATATTGAGGATCTGTGGTATATACATGTTGATAATGGATCAAAAGTTCCTCATCTAGACCGCTAATGAAGTTGAAGACGAAGTGGGCTTCTTCCAGTATCGGATTGATCTTCAGCATCATGGACCTTAGATCTTCAAATCTCTCTTGGTATTCATGTAGAGATCCTTCTTAAGTGAGTTTGTTGAATTCACTAATGATGTTTGCCACTAAAGGTTCTCCAAATATCTTGCACAGTTCCTCTTCAACCATCCTCCAATCTCTTCCACCCACTACCATGTCGAGCTTTTTTCCAAACTATATGGCGGCAATCTTTATCTTCTACTAATCAGGCATTCTATAAACCTAGAAGCACTTGTGCCTGAGCTTTAGCCATGCCCTTAGATTAGTTCCTCCAAATATGGGGATATCCACGTGCAGTGTGTTCCCGCTTAGGTACCCAAAGGTGTTGGGATTTGTCCCAAGGTGATTACAGACTCCTGGAGTAGGTAGGATGTCTCTCATTGGGGAGGGAACCTGGGAAGACTGTCCAGTACCAGAGAATTATTGTGGGTATTAGATTGGTTAGGAGCTGGTGCCTGCCTAGTGTTAGAAGAAGGAGAGTGCAGGCCACGTGAAGGTTGTGGCATTTCGGGATTTTTTGGGTTTTGAGCTGTATGGGTGGAGTTTTGAGCGGGTAATGCGGAAGTATGGTTTTGGCTGAGAAGGGTTCTGATAGTGTCTACTATCATCATTTATATTCTGGAACTAGTTTCTACCATTCTCGCATCCATGGCCTTGTATATTTCTGGCATGAACTAGAAGCGTTATTCAATCTTTCGGACGGCGTCTCTAGCTGAGACACCTTCTGAGCATAATCATGGTTGCCTTGCTCTTTCCTTTCGCCAGCTTAACAGTGGTACTAACAGGAGGACAAAGGTCATTATCCTTTGATACCACGTTGTCAGGCTCTTGGCTCATTAGGGTATATAGCCATGAGGCAAAAGAAAGAGTTGGTAGAAGAGGGGGGAGGAGAAGAGACAGAAAAAAAAAACAGAAAAGAGTAGGAATTTAACAAAACTGGCTAGATTTTTTATTCATTTCCATGAAATGCTGCATACATATTTATGCCACCAATCATTGGCACCAGGACAGGCTATTATACAGTGACAGCAATACACGGTCAGCTGTTCTTATTAATTGGCTTGAACATTCCCAGCATAATTTATACATTAACATCCTTAAATTATCCCGACTCTTTTCCTTTATTCCTCACTAATTCCATCATCTAATAGAATTTAGGTCCTTCCCTAGTTGAACCAACTGCAAATCTCCAAACGAATTTGATGAAATTTCTGATTTCTTCAAACTTAGCCATACTCAAATTTGACATGTACCTGGTCAACTTCATACAAATTTCATTTAAAATGAATTCAACAGTTTGAAATGATCATAATCTTCTTCCAGATATTGCAATAGAAAAAAATTTCACTGCAGCTTTTGATTGCAAAACGTGCTTTGCACACATCAAAAATTACTAACGACCAAGAACTACAAGTTAATCAAACTATTAATCTTAACAAAAATCCCAAAGCAAGCGAATCCAAAATAACTTAAGACAAATAACAAAACCATTACAAAATCATTCACAGTAAGCACCAAAAAAATCCATGAAAAATCAGCATCATCGAACAGCACCAGATAGGAAATGTTCTATGCAAAACTCGTATGACTTATGGCAAACAAGGAAGAAGAAAAAGCTGAGTACCTGGGAGTGAAGTTGATCGAATAGAGAGAGGTTTTCTACGGCTGTGAATTTTCCTTTGAAATCGAAAAGAAACCGAACGACTCTGAGTTGAAGAGCTCGATTGTAAACTGCTAGTACATAGACGAAGAAGAGAGAGAGTTTGCGGTGTAATTGCAGAGAACGCCATTGGAGCGTACGTCAGACAAACTCTCTGCTCTGATTTTCATAAAAACCTGATTTCGGATTGGTGATTAATTAATTATGAGGGAACTTTGAATGCTGAGTGTTTGGGTTGCCCGCGAGAGAACAGTTGACGGTCACAAAATCTTGATGTCCCTTCCAGCTTTTTTTTTTTTTTTTTTTTTTTTTTGGCTGTTCTGATTTTTATTATTTCGATTTTTTTGAGGTTTATATTTTTTTTAATTTTTTTCTTTTTATTAAACCAACCTTCCTTGGAGATAGAGGGAAAGACAAAAGGCATGGTATGGACGTAAACAACAAGAAACAGGTAGTTTTTTATCTTGTTTGATAGTATGAAAAAATAGACCGAGAAAATTTAAAAAAAAAAATCAAGTATATTTTATTATTTGATTAATATAAATATATATAGTTTTATCTTTATTATTTATTTTTATATTATAAAAACAGTTTCTAGTTTATTAGAAAATTACTAGTAGCATGTAAATCAAATAGTATAATATTTTTATTGTATAGCTGACCCAAATTTGAGTATTATCCACCGTCTCAAAGAAATTATTAGAAAATTAACTTATGCATGTATTTTTGTGTACATATATCTACTATGCATTTATAATATATGTAAAGTGGTATTCACTAACTTAAAAATAAACCAAATTTTATCACTTGTTCACATAAATTGAACTGAGAATCAAACAGCATTGCTCTCGTCCTAGACTAAATTGAATTAGTTTAAGTCAGTTTAGTCTAGATTTGAACCAAGTTAGCTTAATTCTTTTAAAATTTTAAATAAAATATATAATAAAATATTTAGCAATAAAAATGTAATATACTAATTTAACCTCTAAACTTTGGTTATTTTTTTATTTTAATTTTTTGTTGCAAAATAATTTCATATTTTATAATTTTTGTTCAAAATACTAACACTATCAATTTTAAAAGATAAAACATGAAAAAAAAAATTAGTCTTGTTTGGTTCTCTCTCCCCTCTTTCACGCAAATGAAAAAACTGAATCCAATTTTTTTATTTTAGGCTTCCTTTTTTAGTAAAATAAGTCAATCACCATTCTTATTCATCAAATAGATATGTCTATTAATATGAGAGAATAAAAGAAATAAATGATTTTTACCATTATGGGGCTAAACTTGTTCATCTTTTATTTATACATTGCAAAAATTCACTTTACCACTAGACCCTAAGCACAATTTCTCTTTTAATAAGTCATTTGTTGTTGTAGCTCCAGTCCTTTTTTTCTTTGTAATGCTACATCTTATTCTTGAACCCCAAAGGTCTCTCCTTTTTAATCCAAAAATTCTCTCTAGTATACATATGATTTTGAAGCCTAAAATGCTCCTTTTACCTCTCTTTTTTCATAAAAAAAATAAGAGGATGAGGATTCCCTTTTCTCCCTACATACTATTTTATATTTTCACTTCTAGCTATTTATCTCTTAGATATCTACTCCTTACTAGAACCTTAAGATTTTCCTTCTCTTTATAGCAAAGATGATAACAAATAAACATTGGTGCAGTTAGGTTTATTAAAGTAGAAAGGGAAAGAAACCCGAAATAGACATGGAAATGAGAGATTTTTAAGTTGAACATGGGAAGGGAACAAAACAAAGGTTTCTGACTAGAGATTTGGTTTAGAAAAAGAAGGAAATTAAGGAGTTTAATAACATAAGAAGCGACAATTTTAGAAATTTGATATCTTTTAAAGGCAAGTTGCCATTTTAATCTCCAAATTTTGGCCTATTTTTATTTAAGTTCTCAATGTATTTTTGTTACAAAATCATCTTCAATTTTTTAATTTTGTTTTCAAACAATTAACATTGTTAGACAATACATTAAAATTTTTAAAATGTTCCGGTGGTTGTTTGGCAATTAACATAACTTTTTTCTCTCTTTCCTATTATCGTTAGACTCTCTCTCCTGCTTTCATTACTTCATTTTTCCCTCCTTACATCATTTTTTCTTTTTCTTTCTTGACACACAAAACTCTCTATTCCTGTTCTAAGCAACCCTTAGCCTGAATGTTATTTAATAAAATAGGTTTACCTTCATTATGCAACTCATCCTCCACCTTCATGATGTTCTCGATCAATTCCTCTATCTTAAGGGTTTGCTTTATTATGTGAATAAATTGGTAAAGAGCTCAGATCCTAAGGATAATAAGTGAGTCGAGTCTACCACTAGTAATATTTGTTTGACCCCACATTAATTATCAATGATGGGAGAAGTAATTCTGAGATTTGTAAACAAGCTCATCCTTGTCCTACCATAGAATACTTCAACGTAACCATTAAAAAGGATGTTGATAAAAATCTTTAAATCTTTGTTTTCTATCATATTAGTTTACTCTACTGTAACATAAATCAGTGCCTTAGTTTCCTCTCATATTAAAGCGATCATAGTAAAACTTTTAATAGAAGATTCATAAGTGAACTACTTTTGAGCTCTTCTTGATACGGATCTTAGAAGCCTTATTTGATGAGCTTGGAATGCATGAGGAAAAATCTTAATGATAAGTGGGTCAAACATAAAAATATGGATCAAGAGACTTGAAGAATATTTTTTAATTATATCAAGGAATTGATTAGTTAGAAATAAGGGTTTAGACTTGATATACCACCACAATGCTCACAGAGGTAGCCGGTCCCTAACCCCCGCTACAGCAACCACCTACTATGATCGAGTCAAATAACAGTTGCAGAAGTTGCAGAACAGTTGCAAATAGTTTACTTTTTCAATCAATTTATTATAAACTACCTAGATCATGTCCAAATTAGCAGGGAACCATTGTAATTTCTTTTTTTATTTAAAGCATGTAAGATAAGTGAAAATGACATGATTTAAATGCTAATAAAATTGGGTTCTTTCTCACTCGAAGAGAAAAATTTCTTGTTTTAATTATATTCTAATTGGGATCTCATTAGGACTAGGCATGGAAGCCCACAAAAGAATAAAAATAAGCCCATTCAGCCATGAGCAAATTTGGTCATGCATCTCACCCAATTAAGGGAAAAAAAAATTAGACAAGCATATGGAAAATTCTTTTAAATCATGAGGGATCTTTCCCCAAACAGTAAATTACCTTTAAAAAAAAAAGGATTTAGGCATGACCACTAGGTGTTTAACAAGCTACATTTAGGTTCATTAGATGTTGATTATTTATATGTTTTACAACCAAATATTAATGATAATATCAAGACCTTTTTGAATAAGAAGAGACGTACTAGTAATTAAAAAAACACTAAATTAAAGATGAAAATATTATTATTAATGTAGCATCCCACCCATCATTGTGTTTAAATGATTTGGAAACCCTATTTATTAGGGTCTTTAGTCACGTTAAACTTAATTAATTTACTCTCCTTAATATTTATTGTATTTTATAATTTTGGTTGATTTTTGTTTATTTTTCTTTTATTTAATTTTATTTTATTTATTTAATTTAATTTTTAGCCCAACTCATTTAAATTAATTATAAAAATTGAGAAAAATCGAAAAAACGGTGAATCGGGAAGAAAATCCCGCAGGGAAACAAGTTGGTCGTGCGGGTGCTAGGCACTATGCGCCTGCAGCGCGCCGGCCGGGGCACTGCCACCGCTGACTCAAGCGGCGTGCCTCCGCCGCCAGTGGAGGAGGCCCTCCTCCCTTATTTTCCGTGTCAAGCATCTTTTTCTCTTCTTTCTTCACTGGATTTTGCCACTTGGCACGAGTCCGATGGTTCTAAAACTCTATAAATTGCCCTTTTCCTTCCCTTCCTCTCCACACTTTCATTCTTCTATTTTTCAAAGATTTAAAGAGAGAGAGAGATAGTAGTATAGTGAGAGAATAATATAAAGAAATGATAACGATGAAAGAAAAAATATCGAGGTTTCAGAAAGGAATCTAGTATTTCTTTCAATGTCTTATGGAATATTTTTAGATAAAATAATTTAATATGATTGTTATTTTACCTGTTTTGTATGCCTCTATTCAGATGAGTCGAATTGTTCTTATTTTTAAGCATGCTATGTGAATTGTAGACACTTAATGAATTTGCATATAATAAATATAATATATAATTAGTAAAAGTAAAAAGTATAAAAGAAAAAAAAAAAGTTGAATGAAGCTTGTATGATTCGAAGTGTATCTGTATTGACATGAATATTACATCAAGTGTCTCATTAGACTTTTTATTTCTCAGGAGTATCTATTCCCCTTATCCTTCAGGGTATCTGTTTCTCCCTCCCATATCTGGTCTGGAAAGATGTAGGAGGATTGCTCCCCGTGGATGACGGCATACCCTCTGACGAACCACTATATGTAGGGGTCACTCATGGCTAAGTAATGTCGTGATTGTAGATATTTATTGGGGCCACTATGGTTGGTACGACCATGATCATAGATCGTACCATGGTTTCGCCAACCAAAAATAGGTCTGAGTAAATTGTTACATTTGTATCTGATCTGGTCATTCTACTTAACTAGTTAGAAATCTGTATATGCCCTTATAGATAGAAGTTGTAACGACTTCACAAAGTATTATACGAAAATCTGAGCATTTCATGATTTATTTGATTTTCTCTATTATCTAGCATGATGTATGTTTGGTTGTTTGTATTAATGTACCATTTTCTTAACAAATAAATAGTCTTTCATAATGTAAGATAGGTAAACGAGAAGGTTAAATAGTAAGCTCTTAAGTCAAAATAATTAACTTTTGAAATCTTACGATATTAATTTAATATTTTTTTCCTTACTGAGCATATAGAACTCACTCTTTCCATGTTCCCCATATGAGGAAGAAAGTGAGAAACTACAGATTAACCTACCCTTAGAAGTCTATGAGGATCCTGTGAATCCACAAGTCTGAATGCATGACTGTTCCCGCACTCTGATGAGTCCAATAGCATAGTGAAATAAGTGGTCCTTATATTTTGTTTTGTATTTTGCAGCCACTTATGGCCTCAATATATGTATGTGTTGGAACTCATATGTATTTGTATGATATTTGTAATAATTTTGTTCCGCTGCATAAATTTTATCATGCATTCGTTATTTTGAATCTGTATATGACACTCATTTGCCTAAATTAGCACTTGAGATGTCACAATTAAGCTATACCATATGATCA